TAGTCTGCCAGGCTCCTCTATGCGCAGGAGTTTCCAGGCAAGAATACTGGAGTCAGCCGCCATTTCCTCCGCTAGGGGATCTTTCCGATACTGGGATTGAACCCAAGTTTCCCACTTCGCAGGCAAATTCTTTACTGTGTGAGCCACCTGGAAGATAGAAAAACCAAGGGGATTAAAAAAAAAAAAGCTTCTACTTATGCTTCATTGACTATGCTAAAGCCTTTGACTGTGTGGATCACAACAAACTGGAAAATTCTTTAAGTGTTGGGAATATCAGACCACCTTAACTACTTTCTGAGAAACCTGTATGCAGGTTGAAGAAGCAACAGTTAGAACTGGACATGGAACAATGGACTGGTTCAAAATTGGGAAAAGAATAGGTCAAGTCTGTATATTTTCACCTTGCTTTTTTAACTTCTATGCAGATTACATCATGCAAAATGCCAGGCTGGATGAATCACAAACTGGGATCAAGACTGCCTGGAGAAATATCAATAACCTCAGATATGCAGGTGACACTACTTTAATGGCTGAAAATGAGGAGAAACTAAAGAGCCTCTTGATGAAGGTGAAAGAGGAGACTTAAAAAGCTGGCTTAAAACTCAACATTCAAAAAACTAAGATCATGGCATCTAGTCCCATCACTTTATGTCAAATAGATGGGAAAACAATGGAAACAGTGACAGACTTTATTTTCTTGGGCTCCAAAATCACTGTGGACAGTGACTACAGCCATGAAATTAAAATATGCATGCTCCTTGGAAGAAAAGCTTTGACAAACCTATACAGTGCATTAAAAAGCAGAAACCTCACTTTATCAACAAAGGTCAGTCTAGTCAAAGCTATGGTTTTTCCAGTAGTCACATACAGATGTTAGATTTGGACCATAAAGAAGGCTCAGTGCCAAAGAATTGATGCTTTCAAACTATGGTGCTGAAGAAAACTCTTGAGAGTCCTTTTGACTGTAAGGTCAAACCAGTCAATCCTGAAAGACATGAACACTGAATGTTCATTGGAAGGGCTGATGCTGAAGCTGAAGAGCCAATACTTTGGCCACCTGATCCAAAGAGCCAACTCATTGGTAAAGACCCTGAGCTGGGAAAAATTGAAGGCAAAAGGAGAAGGAGGTGGCAAAGGATGGAGATGGTTAGATGGCATCATCGACTCAATGGACATGAATTTGAGAAAAATCTAGGAGATAGTAGAGGACAGAGGAGCCTGCCATGCTATAGACCATGGGGTCAAAAAGAATCAGATTTGACTTAGCAACTGAACAACAACTCTAAACCCTGTGATTGTGTCACCTCATTGATATTTCCCCAACCACCCGTTTTGCTTAGGAATGTTTATGCTATTGGGAGACCATAGGTTTCACTTCCTGTAAACCCAAGGATTATTCAAGAATGTCACCTCTTATAAAGGAGTGGTAAGGTAACACTCAAGGTTGCAAATAGCAACAGCATAATCACCTTTAGTCAGAAAATACATGAATATTCATAGACCACATGCTGGAGTCTTGGATACTTAAATGGTAACATATCTAATTAGTAGGATCATAGGTGATTGGTTCTTATAAATTTCAGGTGGTAAACATATCATTTTAGGGCTGCGATCTGGACTTATCTATTTATATGTATACCTGATAGCTTCCCTGGTGGCTCAAATGGTAAAGCGACTGCCTGCAACACGGGAGACCTGGGTTCAATCCCTGGGTCGGGAATATCCTCTGGAGAATGAAATGGCAACCCACTCCAGTACTCTTGTTTGGAAAATTCCATGGATGGAAGAGCCTGGTAAGCTGCAGTCCACGGGGTCGCAAAAAGTTGGACACGATTGAGCAACTTCACTTACCTGACTATATTAGTCAGCTAGGCTTGCCATAACAAAATAATGTAGACTAGGTAGCATAAACCACAGAAGTTCATTTTCTCACAGTTCTGGAGATGGAAGTGCCAAAATCAAGACCTAGCAGTGTCAGTTTCTGGTGGAAGCTCTCTTTCTGTCTTGCTAGTGGTCATCTTCTTGTTGGGTCATCACATATAGGGGGAAGATCTGGTATCTCTTTCTCTTCCTGTATGTCCACAATCCCATCAAATCATGCCCCCCATATCAATTAATTACCAAAATACCCTATCTCCAGATCCAATCACATATGGGGTTAGGGTTTCAATATATTACTTTTTTGGAGGGGAGATAATTCAGAGTTCAGTTCATAGCAACTGTGGTCAGCACAAACACCAGAAATACTTGGTTCATAAAACAGTGAATTATTTTCAGGACAAAAACCAGACCAGAAGTTCTGTGCTGCAGCTCATTAGCAGGTATTAGATGTCTGAGCTGAGGCCCAGTGAAAGATGTGATGTGCTTGGTAAAGCAGATGTTAGCAAGTATCTCTTCTCCCTTCCCATCCAACTCCAGCCTTTCATGTCCCTTGACTTTAGTGGAAAAGCACTTTCCAAAAAGCAAGAAGAGTCCCATCTAAAATTCCAGCCCTTATATGCCTTAGAAGATCAAATCAGGCCCTGTGTTTTCATTTCCTCATTTCTGTGACAAGGGAGCTACTCCACATGACCACTTCTCCCAAGGTTCTCCATCTCTATGATTCCAACTTTCGGGAAAAGTGCTTAGCATTCCTGTTGGGAGGCACACATACTGAATAATATCCTGCAAACTGAGAAGGAACTTTGAGACCAAAACAAACAAACAAACAAACACAAAGTGAGCAATGCCATAAAGTACAATTATGAAGTTCACTGTAGGTAACCAACATAAGGCAACAGGACAGAGTCAACAGATATTCCAGAGGCATTTGCAGCTGCACTGCACACTGACTGCCAAAAAGGGTACAAGAGAATTTAAAGGGGCCAAAGCTAAAAGTAAATCTGACTACCAAGAGAGAAGCACATATGCAGCAACTGGAATTGGGGTTCCTCCCTCCAGAGGTCCCATGACCATTAACCATCTATGTCAGCAAAAACCACTCTTGCAGGTTTCATATCAGATGAAAGCAAAGGCAAAAGTTAATAGGGTACTCATATGGCTTGGACTCACTTCTTGTGAAAAGTGGGGAGGTTTGGGCTGTGTGAACAAAGATGGAACTGACAAAATGAAGTCAGTGTGTATCAGCCACACAATCCCCAAGTCAGGACCCACTTGATCTGGGGAGAGGAGGGCCTTTCCCATGTGCCAAATCTGCTAAAATATCTTTCCTGCACTCATTTTTTTGGCTTAAATATACCCTTGTATACTTTCATTCCTCAGAAGACCACCAGAAAGGAACCACAGGAGCCTATGATAAACATATTGGTTATGTTTATTATTTTACTGCTTCATTACAAATGAAAATAAATTGTGAGAAGATGCAAAACTGTGCAACATAAGAATAATAAAGCAATAGAGGGAATCATTGTAGAAATTTAAAAGCAGCTTATCCTATGGGGAAGCAAAGACTACACACACAAAGATCATCAACTGTGAGATTATTGACAGCATCTCCCTGTTGGAATTTATACACCAATAGAAGTTTTAAGATGAAGGGACATTGGCTACCCCTGACCTCTTAGCCAGGGTGAGAAGGTAACAACAGAAGATACCTAAAATCTCTACCAAGATTTGCCAAAAGCAAGACACTCAAGCGATGTTGCTCTTGCAAGGAGGTCCCCACTTTATGATGTTTGAGCACACTCTTTCTCCTGCTGGATAGCTGGGTAAAAAACAAACACAAAAAAAATTATTATGAGGGTATTTTCCTAAGATTAAGTTCAATTTCTTCCAAAAGAGCTCTTTGCCAAATCATTGGAGGCTGCCATAAGAAAGAAAGTGTTAGTCGTTCAGTGGTGTTCAACTCTGCAATCCCATGACCTGTAGCTCTCCAGGCTCTTCTGTCCTTGTGATTTCCCAGACAAGGATACTGGAGTTGATTGCCATTCTCTTCTCCAGGGGATCTTCCCAAATAAGGGACCGAATCTGAGTCTCCTGCATTGCAGGCAGATTCTTTACTACTTGAGTCACTAGGGAGGCTGCCATACCTTCTTTAAATTTAGAATGCTAAAGCACTAACCACAAATCCCCAGTCAGTTGTGTCTGTGTGTGTGCAAAGTAATGAACCAGACATTTGTTAGACTCAACTGTAGGTTTCTTTCTCCCCATTTGAGAGGTAGATATATGTTGTTGCCATTTTTTCCATAGATTACTCTGAGACTGAGGGGCAAGTGAAGCACTTTCTTCAGATTTATCTATCACTATATGATTAGGAAGGTATGCCTTCTCAGACAATCTTGACTACCTTTGGAACTTTTAGATAACGATACATGACAAAATGTTTTCCTTGGCTTGGAGTTTCTCCACCAGCCTGTAAGTGGGGAGGGCCAAATTGACCCTTTGATCCCTGGAAAATGTGAGGATACCCAATATCTAAACTGATCATCTCACCTCATCCTGTTGTCAGGTAGAGAAGGCCAAAGCCATAGTTTGCATGGCTCATTAGGGATGAGATAAAAGTTCTAAAACACTAGATGCAGAAAAATGACAAATAGCCAAAATTGGACAAAACTCTTATATTTCTAATGTTATGTCCAATATTCTAAGATTGGTCTTAATGTGGTTTCTAATAATGTTCCAACAAAAATAAGTTTTTGTATTCCCTCAATCCTACTAAGACCAATTTTGCAAGGACTACTTATATAAGCAACATAAAAAGGCAACAATTTGCTATTTTCTAATTTTACATTGGGCTTCCCTGGTGGCTCAGAAGGCAAAGAATCCACCTGCAGTGCAGTAAGCACAGGTATGATCCCTGGGTTGGGAAGATACCCACTCCAGTGTTCTTGCCTGGAGAAGTCCAGATAGGGAAGCCTACAGTGCATGGGGTTACAATCAATCACGACTGAATGACTAACACAATGTTACATTAAATAATTGGTACCCTATTGTTTACTTTGTGACAAAATTTACTAGAAGCATGCATTTACCAAACCTATTAATTTTCACCATTGTTTGTCTCAAATAGAAAGTCTCCATGACTTATTTTCCTTTGAGGGAAGAGTGTTTTTTTCTTTAGTATTAGTTTTCTTCAGTTTGGACCTGTCAAACTTCTCCACTTCAGACAAGTCTGGCTTATCACTCATCTTGATGAAAAGACTGAAAAAAAAAAAACTAAAGAAAACTTACCTGGTAGAACTATTATCATATTAAGGAGTAAGAGCCAAAATTCTCACATTTAATGTCAATATGTATTTTACCTGCTGATTTTCAAAAGGCAAACAGCAACAGATCTTAGAAGAGTCATGTTTTTATTAGAATTTTATTCCACATCATTATCCCACTTCTGAAGACAGTAAATGCCATTGGATCAGGCGCACTAGTAAACACGATGTTTTAGAAGCCAGGAGCCAATATGTCTGACTCTCAAAATCACAGCAAAGGTAAAATGGAGGTGATAGAAACACATGTGCAGATAGGGACAGAATAAAAAAATAAGGACTGTGTTTAACCAACTAATAAATTTGTAACAGGAGATAGCACTATTTGAGTACCTTTACTTTGTATTCAATTACTTTGAGAAGGGGGCATTTTTCTTGGGGGATTAGGGACCAGCACACAAAAGTAGCATTAACTGGACTAGTTTCTTTCTATTTCATCTGCCCAAAGACAGGAGACTAAGAGGCTACAATAAAAGGAAGGATTAAATCCAGTCAAAACTAATTACATGTCTCACAATAGCTCCTTGTGGGACTGGTTTGTAAATGCTGTAAGATGGAACAGCTAATTATGATCAAACCAGGAAATGCCGCAGAATGGGGTAAACCAAACAGAGTTGATTTTATTTTACCATGTTTTCTCCTCAAGAGGAGAGAGGAGGAGATGAAGCTAGGAGGTGAGGTGCCCAGTGATCATTCTGGGTTTGTCCGGAGGAGACAATAGGAGACCTCTGAACCCAGAAAGCAAAGCTCTCCTGCGCCTGTCTGGTCTCACGCAGGTGGAGTAAGGCACTTCTAGTGCTCAGACGAGAATGGAGAGGCCCCCAAGCAGCCATACGTCCCGAATATGCCTCCTCTCCATCAAGTTCACCCTAGGACCCTCCTGGACAAGCGATCGGCTGCCAGTCTCCAGAGGTGGGGAAACAGGGATTTTAAATAAAAAACTAACAGGGCTGGGTGCACAAGCAACGTTGTTAGCAGCAATTTGCTTACATTTTAAAATAAGTGTTATCATTGTTGGGAGCCCAGTCCAACCTAGCAGTCACAGGAAAGGAGGGAGCAAAGGGCCAGTCCCAGAGAGCCCATTCCAAGTCTCAAACTCCTCGTCCCCTCAGCCTCGGACCTACAGCCGCAGTGGATGACCACTCCTGGGGCTCCAGCCTCGGACCTGCCAGGGACCATCGCTGGAAGGATCCGAATTCCGCTCAGAAGGGGTCGCTGCGAAGACAAAGGCGTGGACTCCCCAGGAGGCGTCGCTACAATCACCGGTCTTAACCTCCGCCCCTTCCATTCCTGCAGGCCCGATTCATCCTCCCCGCGGCCGCCACGCCCTCCTGTCCCCATAGTCCTCAGTCTCTGGAGGGGCCGTACATCCTCACCAGAAGGCTTGAAGACCAGAGAAAGGTAGAGGGCTGCCCTGACACTGCTTAGCACTCTGGACGAGGTTAGCCTTCCCGCGCAGAACCCCTCAGTTATATGGTGCCTGTCAGGCTCTGCCCCAGTTCTCTTCGATTGGCCAAAGAATCCCAGACCCGCCTCCTCGCCCCTCCCACAGCTTTAGCCTTGCTGGCCTGAGTCCACTATCTCTCTTCTACTCAAGACCTCACCTCAGTAACTGGGTGTTAATAACTTTAGTTATTATGAGAAACGTTAATGTTTCTCATTGCTGCCTTTAGAGTATTCCTCTCACACATCCCACAGCTTGTGTCACCAAATAGCCTGCATTGTCATCATCAAGCAAACTTCAGTGCTCCTCCTCTCCTTTATTTCTCAAAGATTTTAGCTACTGTACTAGGTCACTCCCAACAGTAGTTATCCTGTCTTAATTCCTGGTGAACTCAAGAATGATCGTTCTGATACACCTCCTCTTTTTCCAGTTCATTCCCTTTGGTACCCAGACCCCACTGTCCTTTAACCTCACCAATCTCTAATCCATTTGTCTTACCAGATTTCAGCATTTCTCTCTCTCTCTTACTGTTTTCTGTCACCTCCTTCCCTAGCTCAAATGTCATGCTCAGTCCTTGTAATCACTCACTGACTTATACCCTCCATTCTCCTGCCCCTCTCTCACTTTGTATTGCTTCCCTGGCAAAATCATAATTCTGGCTAAGTCCAGACACACCTCAGTGAGCCTGTACTCACACAGATAAACCCTGCTGGAGGAAAAATACACAACTACAAGCTTTCAAATTTTGATGTTTCCCCTGGCCGGCGATACGTGGTAGGATACTCTCTCATGATGCTGGACAGCAGCAAAGAGCTTCAGCTCCCAGTCAGCTGAGTGATCACAAGGTAAACACCTGACACTGATACAATTCCACTCATTATGTCACGCGAGTGTATGCTTCTCGGTTCTTTGTCTCATCACAACAAAAATTTGGAGTGACGGACATTAAAGCCCCTTGGCAGGTCACAGCTCTCGGAGGACACACCGTGTTATAGTTCTCAGGTCTCGAATGGACCGTGTTATAGCTCTTAAATAAATCAGTGTTACAGCTCTATTTATTTAGATAATAGCAGGAAAATCCATCTTTGAGGCATGAGGGCACGTTGATCCAAAGACGCAAAGAGACAATCGCCCCATCGCGCGGGGGAGAGGGAGGGAGCAAAAAGGGAGAAGAGGGCTTTGTCTCCTCTTTTTATATGTTTCTGTCCCTGGGCCTGTCTTATGTAAATTGGGCCGGCCAGGAGTGTTGTTGGTTTTACCTGAGGTTCTCACTCCGGTCCTTGGACCTTCCTTTGTTCTATTTTTGCAGGCTTTCCCTTCCAGGTCTTTTAGCCACCGCCATTTTGGACTCTTTTTCCCTATTCTAACTACCTAACATTCCCTCCTCAAGAGATGGGAGGCCCAATTCTTTGGGAATAGGGGCGTCGAGGTCTCTCTGGCTACTTCCTGCTGAACTGGGATGGCGAGGGACATTGGGCCTCCCCCTCTTGCTAGTCTCAGGCCTCAGAGTCCTTATAGCGGTGTCCATCTAAGGGTGACTGATGTTTTCTGTGGTTGGCTGTGGTTTTATCTTTGTTGAACTGGCGCTGCATGTCATAGCTTGGGCAGAGACAAGACAGGTTAGACAATTGACAGTACATGGAACAGTCATTAGCAGCATCAGTATGGCATAACAAGGGCTAGTAGGGGCATTAGCCAATTTTAAATTTACATCACCAGGATGGCTCAAGTCCCTCCTTGTTCAGGGATCAGAATATCTATCTCCTGTCTGTTTTATTTTTGCCAAGCTGTGTTGGCCCTTTAGAGCTGTTTTGAGAAATCTTATACCCAGGACCAGATTTTGGGGGTTGTTTATTAGAAGGGCACTCAATTGTAGTTCAGTGCTCCCTTTTTGGTGTCCTTTACAGTGGGAGACTGAAACCTCAGTGGGCAGATGGACTGCCTCTAAGAGTCTAAGGATTTGATCACCATATTTGATTGGGGACCCTTGGGTGGTCAAATGGCCCCTTTCTTTCCAAATAGCTGCATGTGCATGTAGCACCAGAAAGGCATACTTGAAGTCAGTATAAATGGCTATTCCTTTTCCTTTTCCCAGCTCTAAAGCTCGAGTCAGGGTTATGAGCTCAGCTAATTGGGCTGAAGTACCTGGCGGCAGAGGCTTAGCCTCTATGATCTCAAAATTGGAGACTACTGCATATCCGGCTCTTTTTCCATCCAAGACAAAGCTGCTTCCATCAGTGTACCAGATTTCTTCAGGATTGATCAGAGGATCTTCTGACAATCCCTCTCAGGGCTTTGTCCAGTGGTCCAAGGTTTCTAGACAGGAGTGAAAGGGGAGAGAGCCCTCAGGGATAGGCAGGAGAGTGGCCGGGTTAAGAACCTCACAAGGGGATATAGTGAGGCCTGGATTTTCCATAAATATTACTTGATATCTGAGGATTCTTTGATCAGACATCCATAAATGGCCTCTCCCATTTAGGAGTTGTTTTACTTGGTGGCTGGTAAAAAGTTAGTTTGCCTCCAAAGGAGAGTTTTAAAGCATCTTCTATCATGATTGCAATAGCTGCAAGATTTCGAAGGCAGGGGGGCCAGCCTTGGGCAGTTGGATCAAGTCTCTTGGATAAGTAAGCTACAGGCTGGGGCTCAGATCCCAACCTTTGAGTTAACACTCCCAAGGCTATTCCCTCTCTTTCATGGACATAAAGTTGGAATGCTTTTTTTGGATCTGGCAACCTCAAGGCAGGTGCCTGAGTTAAGGCCTGTTTTAGTGTAGCCTCTGCCTCCTTTTGAGGAGTTCCCCACATTAGTGGGATTGAATCATCTCATCCCTTTAAGCTTTTATATAAGGGCTGGGCAATTAGACCATAGTTGGGTATCCAGATTCTACAGTATCCAGTTAGCCCCAGGAAAGCTTGCAATTGTTTTTGAGTCGTGGGGGAGGGCAACTGGAGGATTCCTTGTACCCTATCAGAGGACAGCCTCCTGGACCCATGTGTAATCTGAACTCCCAGGTAAGTGACTTTTGTCTTGACCATCTGTGCCTTAGCACAGCACTTTATATCCCCTTTCTGCCAAAAAGTTTAGAACCTGAATTGCATGTTGTTGGGCACTTTTCTCATCTGGAGAGCAGATTAGTAGGTCATCTACATATTGTAATATTTTCCCATTAGGTCCCAGGTCTACATCTAGGAGATCCTGGCTAAGGGCCTGTCCAAACAAGTGGGGGCTGTCTCTGAATCCCTGAGGTAATACTGTCCAAGTCATCTGTTGGTGTTTTTCTCCTGGGGCCTCCCACTCAAAGGCAAAAAGATATTGGGATTCTTTAGCCAGTGGTATGCAAAAAAATGCCATCTTTTAGGTCCAAGACTGTAAACCACTTGGCACTGGGTGGGATTTCTCCCAAGATTACATAGGGATTGGGTACTGTGGGATGGAGAGGGACTACAGCTTCATTTATGATCCGGAGATCTTGAACCATTCACCAGGTTCCATCCTTTTTCTTTATTGAGAGGATTGGGGTGTTACATGGCAAACTGGTGGGGACCAATAGCCCAAAAGTAAGGAATTTATTTATTAAAGGCTGTAGTCCCTCCTGAGCCTCTCTTTTGAGAGGATATTGTTTCCGGTTAGGAAACCGAGTGGGATCTCAGAGGACAATGATGACTGGTTCAGCTTGATGGGCTCGTCCAGGAATCCCCTGGTCCCACACCTGGGGGTTAATTTTGTCCTCCCATAGTCTTTGCTCTCTCTCTATTGGAGGTGTGATGGGTTCCTCAGTAGTAACTAGAAGCTGTAGGGCCCTAGGGGCTGAAAAGCTTCCCATCACAAGGGTGGTCCTCAGTTTAGTGAGTATGTCTCTTCCCATTAAGACAGTAGGACACTTAGGGACCACCAGAAACTGGTGGGAAAATATCTGTCCATCCCAGCAACAAAGAAGTGCTTGGGTGAATCTTCTAGTAGTGGCTTTTCCTGTAGCACCCAAAATGGTACAGGTTTGGGAGGAGAAGGCTCTGGAGTAGGAGATCAAGACAGAGTAGGTAGCCCCTGTGTCAACCAAGAAATTCTCGGACCTACCTGCCACATCCAGTTGCACCCTTGGCTCCAGCCCCATGATAGTTATCTGTGACAGGCGGGCTGGCTGGAGTGGGCCGCTTCAGTCCTCTTGAACCATCGTGAGGGAAGGCTTGGCGCTTGACCTTGAGGCTCTTGGGTCCCGAGGGCAGAGTGCCGCTCAATGTACCAGTTGATGGCATTTGTGGCAAGCTGTTCTAGGAGACTTGTCACAGTTAGGACACTCTTTGGCCCAATGCCCCGCCTGTCTACAGATTAGGCATTTGCCTCGTGCCTTGTCATTCAAGGGCTCGGGGTGTGCCATAGGGCTTCCCTGGAGGGCGGCCAGCATCTGGACATGCCTTGTCTCTTTCTTTCTCTCCCTCTCCTGGGCCTTGGCCTCCTTCTCCTGTTCTCTGTTATAAAAGGTATTGGTGGCTGTCTGGATCATCTCATCTAGAGAGGCAGCAGAGTCCTGCTGCTGTAGTTGTTGTAACTTAATTCTGATATCTGATGCACAATGGGACAGGAATTTGTCCTTTAAAATCACCTGTCCTTCATAAGAGTCTAAGTCCAAATTTGTAAACTTTTGGAGGGCTTCTTTTAGCCTTTCCAGAAAGGCAATGGGGTTCTCATTGGACTCCTGAGTTATTGCTGAGACCCAGGCATAGCTGATTGCTTTTTGCTGGGCTGTTTTCAGTCCTGCCTTTATACAGATTAGAAAATGATCTCTTTCCCAGATGTGCTCAGGGTCATTATAATTCCAGTTAGGATCCGAGGAGGGGACTGCAGTTTCCCTTACTGGGTACCTATCGCTTGACATGTGAAGCCCTGTTGCATACCTCCG